CACCACCTGTTATTAATACTTTCCCGGACGATAGTAAAGTTGCAGTGTGTCCAGTACGTGCTGATGACATGTTGGAGGCTGTAGTCCATGTATTTCTTGTGATATGGTTAGCTAGGAAACAGAGAGATAGGGCCGGGGTCTAGTGTTTAATTTCGCTAGTTCTGAGGCGGAACACGGGTTTTTCATAGCACTTTACTGCTAACTTCGCTTCAAGCAAGGATTTTTAAGCCGAACGGTGAGCAGCATTTCTACGATATCACGCGAAATTCTACGATATCCTTGTGGGAGAGTTGAACAGTGAGCACCATTTCTACGATACGCTCGTGGGAGACCACTTCTTTAAAGAACCAAGGGAGATTTCTAGAAAACCAAAACATGACATTTTCAGACTGGATTTGGAATGTTTAAGTCAGCCATTTAGTTAATTAGACATGTCAAGCTAGTTTTATAATTATTCGAATAGTTTTGATGGAAGCAGAGACTTTTAGTTGAAGTATTGATTAAAAGCATACATATATACGTGTTTGCAAATACTGTAGTCTTTGAAAAAATTAAAACGTAGTGATAACTAATCGAATAGTTATTAAAATATCTTGACATGTGGAACTTAACATGCTCTACAAAATGGTTGATTTGAAAATTCCAAATCCAATTGAAAAATTTCACGTCTTGGTTTTCTAGAAACATCACTTTGTTTCCGACGGGTCTTCAAAGATCCCAAAAATTTCGGTCAGAGAGTTTAGATATGAGGCTTTTTCTAAAATTCTTTTAGGAAAACATCAATATAAATTACTAATTAACGAATCGTTGGTAGTTAGACTAACATATCCTGTGTTGAATAGTACAGATCGATCTGTACCATTGTACATCTGTCCTAATAGTAGAAAGACGGTTATAACATGAAAGAATGGTATCAGATAGTGACATCTACTTAATGGAAAGAACCGTCCCTTAAATACAACACGTATAGTACCAGTAAAAATAAAATAAACCGTTCTCCTCTCCCACTCTCCGTTTGTTACATTACTATTTTTACATGTCAAATCATTCCCAATTTTTAATTCCCAAACAGTTAATTAGGCTCTTGACCATGAAGTTTGTGTCCGTTTAGGCTCTATCCTGGCACGCATACGTAACTCGATGTTCTCTACAAATTAGCTGTAGTTCTTCACAGCTATATAGCTGTTACTCAGCTATAAAAACACATGAATTTGAAGTTTTACCTGTGAATAGTTACTGCATATAAATACATCATCAAACCGAACTATATTTGTTCCCAGTTTACCAAAGCTAACAGCGAAACCTTAGGAATACTTCTTAGCGTAGCATCTTATTTCAAAATTCGAATTTCTTACTATGCTACGAACCACAACTACCTGCGTGACATGTAACAGAGAATACTGGACGCTTTTGTTCCTGTTCATCATCATTTTCTTCTCCAAATAAATATTCTTTCGTAAATCGTGTTTCTGTTTCAACATGCTCATACAATTTGCACTCTTATTGATCAACAAATACTTCTCGATTAACTCCAGATTGACGATAATTATCTATTTGTAATATCAGTTTATCATCGTAGTATGATGCAGCTATGGACACCGATAGTTCTTGAGTATCAGATGGGAAGTGGTGTAATTCGAATTTTTCCCAAAAAAAACCTTTTACATCACAATGTTCACATATTTCAATTATCATTTCTTTATCATCATTCTCTTGTTCTTGAACATTTGCTCTCTTTAATGTATAACGTGTAACTTCTTTTTGTTCACCAATGGCGTTTTCGATATGTACAGTGGAACAATATATGCGGAGTCTGTCTGTTCTTCTAGAGGCAAAGATCGATGGATCGTTGTTTACCTATTCTTGTAAACATTAATTGTATATCAATGATCACAGCTTTTGATTTTCTTGTATTCTGATGGTTACTAACAGTTTTCTGCATAGTTTGTCACAGTTAATTTGTTTGAGAATAATAAATGCGCGGCACCACTCATTAATATCTATGTTTAAAATTGTGTGCTTGCAACTATTAAACTGGCTTTTCGGTAGATTTTTAAAACTTTTTCTAAAAATAAATAGTCGTGTAATATCTTGACTATATACATTCTTAGCTTTGTTTTAACGTTAAAATCTAACTGTACAGTTTTGTAGCATGATTTCTCCCCAAGTTTGGCTAGATATTTACACTTGACGATTCTCATGCGGCTCAGATACCTTTTAAACCACTGTACCAAAATCGGAAAACGTTTCTGAGTACAAACTTATAAAACAAACCCTTTGAATCATTAATTGTCGGATCCACTTTATAACAAAAACCAACTCCGGCATCATCCGATGAACGTTGATAACCAGTAGGACAATCAAACGAAAAGTTTTTTCCGTCACAACGAAGTTCTCGTTTGACTGCTCCATCATCAAGGTCACAAATTGTACCGATTTTTCCATTGTCTGTAGCCGTCGTTGTCATCGAACAGAATTTACAAGCTGCATCTCTCACAGATATTTGATAACCACTTGACCGTACACTCGCTTTCCACATAGGAACTTCTTTTCCATAAACAGGGTTTGAGTACCACAAAGTGTTGCACTTAAAACATCTCCTTTGAGTGGTATAAATGAAAACTCACTGCCAGTGCAACCATTATAACATTTACACATACCGAATCGCAAATATCCCAATGCTTCACATTTCCTGTTATTAAGCAGTGTCTAAGTCGTCACTCGAATTCGACTTTCAAATGTTATTTTACTTTGAAAGATTACAGCTATATTCTAGAATTTCGATTCTGAAATTCGAATTAGACTTCCTGTACGACTTCCACTTTTTCAGCCTACTTTCGAATTTTACCCTACGAACAAAAATTTTCCAAAATCCCTCATTCGGAAGAAGTGCTAAGAGCTCATTCGAGTCTCAAATCGAAACAAACATTCCGCCGCCTAAACGTTTTAATAAAACACTCAATATTTGGTGGCGACAAGTTATGGTTCAGACACTGAAACCTTTATTGTTCCTCAAAGTGGAAATTTGAAATATGCTGCAAAAGCGAAAATCGAAATGTAAAAAATTCTTTCACTCAGAAGTAAAAACTCAATTTCTACTTCAGCTTTTGACTTCTGAACGTATGCTATTCTTTGAACAATTATTATAGAAAAGAATTCATTTTCATGTATTTTTTTACTATTTCTTACATTAAAAAGCTTTTTCAATATTTAACGTGTTTGAAAAATTCGAGCCAAGGTCTCGAAAAATTCTAAACGTTTGTAGTACATAACTTTGCATTGAAATGCAGAGCTCTTGTATTATTAATCATAGGAGTTTCTCAAAAGAAAATGCTACAATAGTAAACAGTTGTTCGACGATGTCATACATATACACTCAAAAGTGAATAAGTCTCTAGCAAAGTTCAATCGGCAGAACATAAAAACAGCTAGTCATTCTTTTATTCATTCATTGGATCAGGAGCTTATGTCTCATTTATACAGTCACTACAACCAGCTTTTTGTTGTTCCGATCGACTTAGTTGTGTTGATGCATTTAGATTCTCAGTATCAATGGCGGGTAGAGTTGATGCATTAAGACCTTGACCAGGAGGATCATATGAAATATTAAACATTTCACGAACTTCGGCGGATGATTTTCCACGAACCTACAAATTAAATTTGAAAATATGCCTGTTTCTTAAACAACATGTACATGCATTCGCTACCATATTGGCAATTGTTTTACAACCAACAGCTAATAAAGTTTTTATCCCAAGATAATTAGCAGCCATGATGATATCAAAGATTGTTCCATCTTCAACAGTAAATTGTTTAATAAATTCTTGATCCCATTCGCTAATATCATCTGATCTAGAAAAGGCGAGAATATATTCTACAATAATGTATAAAAATATAGATTTTAATTTAGAGTGCTTGTAGTAGTGAAGTTTACCGCTTTGGTTCGTGTATGTCTGTACAAAGATCTTCATCATCTTCGTCAATAGTGGGAACTGGATCATTTTTATGATATTCGCAAAAATCAATTATCTGATAATAAAAAAATATAGTTCACGTTTCCATTCAAAGCAAAAAACGGTCCTGTTTATGCTCATACCGGTTTCAAAATTGAGGCTTTAACATTCGGTAATGGTGTCACTATAGAGTAAACAACATCACCAAGATCTAAACGAAAATCGTTTGTTTCAATTACCAATAGAATTCGAAATTGTCAGAAACTAGACTTCTCTAGTGTTCACTACTTGGAAAGTGATGTTTCTTTTTCTTCTCTTTCAGGTGTTCTCTCTTTTTAAACGATGCACACATACCATTACACATGTCTTTAATTGTATTTGTTTGATTAATAATTTCTTGACCAATTTCAAATACTTCTCCATCATTGCTACTGATTTTAATTTTAGGTAGCGATGTAGCCGCTAGCGTTGGTTGTGCTCCTTCATTTTCTATAGTAGTCATTCTTTCTGGTGTGACGTTAAACTTATAATAATTATAAAACACACAATAACCTAGAAAAAACGTTTTTTCAGTTTATAAGCGCAGATACTCAAGGTAAGACACAGTAAATTCGGTAGAGTCTTAAAAAATCTGTCGTTATTAGAAGAAAAGTTCACGTAGCACTACTGAAAAATCCAGTCCAGTAACTCAAATTTCTTTTACGAATCAAATCCCAAATCTTGTCTTACTTGCCTTCTCTAATTGCGAAAAGCTTGTGAATATTCTTTTTCTCGTTGAAAATGACAGTATTTATGGACTATTTATACTTAGTCATCTTAACGGTCGGATTATGAAAGACAGTCATATTCATTTTGACATCAAGTTGGAAAAGAGGAGGAAAGAAAAGAATTGTATTTTCTTCGTATTATTTCGTCGGACGATGAACAACATTGAAGAGAATTGAATAAAAAGATCAGATCTTACAGGCAAAATACGAATCGCAATAAATTCGAATTTTGAAGATAAAGTATAGTTTCATCATAATGTAATAACCAATATGGACAACTCAACCAATCCGATGACTAAGTAGTATATGTCAATTTGTTTTGTTTATCGTATGCAAAAAAACTGTTTTTTTCTACATATTTAAATTCAAACAACAAATAGGATAGCACAAGAAGTAAAGAACTTTAAGTGACTCTTCCACTGTTAGCTATGCATGTATGGATATAATTTACGATAAGGATGTTTTGTTCTGTAACATCCTGATGAATTCATCCAAAAATAGTTGCTGCTTTCATGTAGTAGTCTACAGCCAACTTGTAATTGCTTGTCTTATGATAAATTAAACCAATGTTGCTAAGCGTTGTTCCTAATTCTGGATCGGTGGTGGATAAGAACTTTTCTTTTAATTCCAAAGCTTTAAAGGTGTATTCAAACGCTGTTTCGTAGTCCCTCAAATGATTATAATTCAATCCCAGATTAAGGTAAGTACGAGCTAGTTCCATTTGGTTTTCTGGTGCAAGCTTTTCCTGCATTCTCAAACATTTTTTATAATATTTTTCTGCTGTCACCTACCTGGTTATATTCTATGGCAACATTGTTAAAACTTTGTGCCATTTCTAGATCAATATTAATTTTTTCCTGTAGGTCTAAAGCTCTAAGCCAACAGTCCAAAGCTTGATTGATTTCGCCCTTATCATTATAAATACCGGCTGTTGCATCTAAACTTAGTACAATGTCACGACTAAGTGGTAGTAGATATTTCTGTCGTATCTCGAGGTGGTATGCTATTTAAGAGCCTGATCATAGAGAGTTGTGGCAATTTCAATGTCATCTGTGAGATTTTTCTGTTGTATTTTTAAGATTTTTTCAAAATAACCAACGACTTGCCAATTACGTTGTGAGAAATACGTATCAGCAATCATTTGAAGGCTTAGAACAATAGAAGAGTGGCCTTCGGGTAATGCAAGTTCGTATGCATTAGCGGATTTTGTAAAATAGTGTATAATTTGGGTATGATCATTATTTTTCATGTAACATACAGTAGTGCGTTTGAAAGTTTCAGCCATTTCCAGATGATTAACTGGTGATTCTTGCTGATATATTTCCAAAGATTTTTTGTAGTAAGCTATACCTGTTTCACACTGACCACTGTCAAAAAACATTTGGCCGATGTTATTATAATAATTTGCCATACTCAAGTACAAAATTTCACTTGTTGACATTCTGTAGTTTTCAAAAAGTTCTATGTCCCGTTTGTGTTGACCGCGTTTTATGTAAATACGACCAATGTTTTGAAGGCTACATTCGATGTCTTTGTGCATACTCGGTAGCACTTTTTGTTCTATGTCTAATCCTAACAAAGAATTCCAGAGCTTGTTCATCTTCGTCTCGTGCTTCGTGGATAATACCAGTACAATTTAGAGTAAGCGCCATGTCGATATGTCCCATGGGTAAAGATTTTTCTTGAATTTTTAAGCATATTTTATGATGTTCTAGAGCTTTTTCAGGTACATTTTTCTAAATAATGCATTTGATCAATAGTGTAGTGCGTTCGTGCCTTATCAGGATGATTACTGGTAAGAACCTTTGTATTTGCAAACATTTTGTTACGTAGGGCAAGGCCCGGTCGAACTTGTAAAGTGAATAATAAACCTTACTAATGTTAGAGAAAATGTCTGCTAAATCTGGATGATCGTCGGGTAGTAGCTTTTCGCGTATTTTTAAGCATTTTAGATAGTAAACCAAAGCTTCATTATGATCGTCTTTGGCGGAATAAATATATTTTCAATGTTGAGAATGGTGCGAGCAAGGTCTAGGTGATTAGATGGTAATGTCTGCTCTTGTAGTGCTAATGCTTGTTTGTAAATACTCAGACTGAAATCATACTTCCCCATTATATAGTAGACAGTAGCCGATCCATTTAACGCTAAGGCAAGATTAGCGTTGTCGGATGCCGCGTCGCATGATGATCTATCTATTCAATGCTTCGTGGTATTTTCCTAGACGCTCTTGTAACAGAGCTAAACCTCGATAAATGGATGTTTTATCTTTATTGTTCGCTAATGATAATTGATTCTCAAAGTATTTTTGTGCTTTTCCATATTCGCTCATGTCGATAAGCAGCCATCCAAATACGACAATATCACTTATCTCTGATATTTCATCAACGATTCTTCATCAGTGAAAACTTCAATAATTTTTTAATAGTCGTTTAGCAATGGCGGAAAAGCAGGAATTCTGCCCGACATTCTCACTTTGCTCGATCAGAACTCAACTTTTGAGTAAAACAAATGTCGTATTCCGAAACAGAATCCAAAACTGAGTAGAATGCTGTGTATTTCAAACCTATCTGACTACTTTAATTTTTTTTGGAATCTTCACGTTGAACGACGACATATCATCAGAATGATTTAGGAACAACATCAAAATGGCTTTTTCTTATTCAATTTTTACAGTACAGAGAGAGGTAGATTATTGACCACTTTGTATTTTGTGGTATAAAAGAAAAAGGACGAAAAAAAGAATGCCCATCTTAATCGCCCTGGAGAAAACAAGAAAAGAACATGACGTCTAGTGTTCTAATCCTGAGAAATAAAAAAGTATGAGTTGCCACACTACTACTATGCACTTCGCCGAACGGTTTTCATGTAAAATGTTGATTTAAACTTTATTATAGAAGAAACAGTAATCAAATCGGGCTGTGCCCATTGCATGACACTGGGAGAGAGGAAGAGGACGAACGAAAGTACAAAATAAAAAAAACAAAAAAGAAACTAGACAAA